TCTTTCTTTCTTTCTTTCTTTCTTTCTTTCTTTCTTTCTTTCTTTCTTTGGAAATCAAGACATTTCCAAGAGAAACTTCCTTTTTACACGGTGCAGAAATAACGGCTGGCCAGGCTGAATCATGAAGAGGTTTTACAACCTTGTTTTTGGGGTGTTAGAGGCAGTGGCAGAGATGTTGGGTTAGCTGGGAAGAGAGCCGTTTTCTTCGGACTGAAGCCGGAGAGGCCTATATGGTATGAACCCAACCTGCCCTAAAATATCTTAGGTTTGATTCTCCAGAGGTTGCTACAATTTCTAGCCTCCAGAAGTTGACACCTTGTCGTTTGGAAAGGATCTGGAATAAATTGTGCCATTTGCTGGAGGTTATCAGATGTTGAGTCACTGTCGTGTCATTTTAATCCTAATTAAATGTAATTAAAAGGAGATTTGGGGATTGGAGAGCAAGCTTCTGCTGGTAAACCATTTCAAAATCAAATGTGGTCCTCCACCCTGGGGAAAAAAACCCCCTAGGAATTATTGAGTGCATCAAGAGGGCAGACCTCAACGCCCAGAATTCCCCAGCCAGCTATGCTTCACAAAATTTGCCTCCGAGGCTGTCTGGGAAACTCTGGGAGTTGAAGTCCACACATCTTAAAAGCTGGCAAGGTTGACCAAGGAGGTTCAGACAGTTTTGTGTTCCAGAATCCCTGTTGCGAAATCCATCATTTCTAATCTGCGTGGTTGGCAGCCTCTAACAATGACATGAGGATGGGTCAAAAAGGGGCACGGAGGAACTTCTGCTTCTTGGCAACAAAGGTGGGGTGATGATGGTGGCTAATGTGGCAGATCAGATCAGGGGGTTCCAGATGGAGGCTCGCTGAGTGATGGGGACCAGATTCTCAGCCCACCGAGTCACTTTAGGGATAACCCCAGGACACATTCTGGTGGGGAAAAAAGGAATGTTACAACCCTCACATAAATCAAATAAACACCACTATGACGGGCTGTAAGCCCTTCCTCCTCTTTTACTCCTTTCCTTACAACAAGGCTCCCCCGCCCTACTTGCAAGGATCAAGGGAGAAAGTTGAGAAAGCCTTAAAGAGGGTGGAAGAAGGGGAGGAGGAAACGAGGGAAGCTTTGGGAACGCGCGCCGATCAAGGGCTTCTCCCCTTTTTTTTGTTCTCTCTCTCTCTTCTACCCGCACCCCGGCTTCTTTTCTTCAGCTCCAAGGCGCCCCGTAGGTGCCGGCGCAAAAGGGACAGCCGGCTTCGCCTCTTTTCTCATGCAAAACGAGAGAGGCGCGCAAAGGAGACGGACGGGAGCACAGGGGAAGCGGGGAGGGAAATAAGAGGAGGGGGGGGATATGGCCGGACCTGTGCGCGTGCGCGGTTCTGCATCACGATCTGTTGCTGCTGCTCCCGCCTCCTAACCCCCCCCCCTCCCCTCCCCTCCCTTCCCTGACTTTAGCAGCTGCAAAGCCCCGGACTTACTTTTTTGGCGAGCAAGCGCGCGCCCTGGAGAAAGCGAGCGCTTTTGGAGAGGGCGCTGCGCTTTTACGCGCGCCTTGGCCACCCAGCGCTCCGCCGCGACCCGGCCGCAGAAGGCTGCCCTGGCTCCCTCCCTTCCCTCCGGCTGGCCACTTTCTCTCTGCCCTCCCTCCCTCTCTCTTTCCCCCCCCCCCCCCCCCCCCCCCCCCCCCCCGCCCCCCCCC